CTCAGCTGGTAACGAGTAATGGATCTGGACCCTGCGAACTTCGCCGCCGCAATTTAATACCAACATGGTGAACGACATAAGCGAGGACAGAAACGGATGGAAACAGTGCTAGGGCCTGCACGACAAGTGAAGGCAGGCCATCTAAGTATCTTTGTAATTATCTAAGTATAAATGTGCCCACTGTTTTGTGATTTCCAGATCTTTTTCAGGCCTTAATGATTCAATTTGAGGAGCTTGTTTCAGCTTAAGAGTTCTATTAAAGAAGTCTTTGGCCAGCGCGATATAAGTACGATATAAAATTGTACTTGGCTTTATTGCTGGAGTGATGCACTAATGGCGTTGGCACGATGATGGTTAAAAATGCTGCAAATTTCTGGGCTGAGTATAGAACACTGAGCTCAAATTTGAAATTTTTTGATATATCATATTTGCATGTAAAAGGAAGTGCTTAGCAGTAGCATCAAAACTACAAACAAATTTACACTTCTAATAAAGCTCACAAACTAACAAAGATCCGATTTTCGAATTTTGGCTGGACAGTAAGACCGATGAAGACAAGAAAATCGGAGTTGCTTTTTTTAGAATTCTGATTTGGCCGGAACGTACTCGTCACTTTTGATTTTGATAACACCTTGATGAAGAGCTAAACCTGAATACACGAAGTGGAAAGCTATGTTTTATTCATGCGTTACTGCAAACCTTCATACGATACATGGCGTACGCACAAAAGAACCCATTTTTACTATCTAGCAATCTAAAACTCCCCTCTTTACATAAGTCAGTTGGTAAAGATTCGCTGAATATTATCATATGTTACCATGAAATAAGCATAGTTTGTTTCATTTTTTTCCACAGCAGGAAACTTTTGACTTGTTTAGAAAAGGAATAATGCATCTCAACATTCTTGTAGAACGATTACCTTTCAAACGTTCAAATCATTAAGCTCCACATTTAATACCCATTAGTAAAGGGCAACGATAGTCTTTTTTTTTCAAAGTAATAAACAATAAATTTACAAACAGTAGAGGTCTAATTAATTCAATTGCTGAGCTGGTTAGCCACTAATCAAATAACCATCTAGGTGTACCTTACGTAGAGTTCGGTTTATCACTAGCTTGTCGAATGTTTGTTAAATGAACGCATCGACAACCTTACTAGTGATTTTTATCCGGCAGCCTGAGATGCACGGCCAAGAAGCTGATATTATCACCAAGTTGGCTTTTTACGGAAGCGTTTCCCGGATGCAACGCATAATTCTATATTCCCATGCAATCATACCATAGACATTGTGTCTTACAGACAATTCGATTTCCTATGTATTTTCTAATAACACCAGACGTATTATCATGATGAAAACACTGTGATCGTCAGTGATTTTATAATCGAAGTAGTAAGAAGATTATTTTATTGGTACATCATTATAGTACGGACAGCATGG